ATTTGTGATTACGAAATTATTAGTCTTTGTACTGTGTTTTTAACGTATAACAGTAAGTAATCGTGGTTTCCTAGGTAGGACGTAGGACGATAGTTATTTTTTGCAAACGTTTCGATAGTATAATTTCATCTTCCGAATTCCCTTTAGAAATAAAATTACCAGGAGATATTTTTCGATATTGATTGCTTATTTTTTCTTCTTTTTTTTTCTCTTCATTCTTCAATACTTCAGGTTGAATGCTAAGTTCGTAAATTGTAGTTATTAATTTTATGTTTGACTAATAAAAATCTTGTTTCTAGTAAATACTATTTTGCATAAAACTAAGACTAACAGCTTTGTTACGTTCACGTGATCTCTATAAAGAAAGGAGATATTTTTTAAATTAATGATAACATATATGTTAAAAAATACAGGCTGGTTATTAAAAAAAGCTAATTTGAAATCAAAAACATTCTCAAAAATCTAATTTATGTATTAATTCTTGAATATTAATCTACGTCAATGATTTCTAAAAAACATATTCTCAAAAGTAACCCGTGTAAGATTTCGCTACGTATCTTATTACATACAGCCACTGATTAATTGAAAAATATTTCATTTCTGAATATATTATATTTGTGTTATAAAACTTCATAATGTGATTTTCAAAAGGTCATGTAGCGACGACTGATTGAAAATTGTCCAAAAGTTCGATGTTCAGGATAAATTTAATAAAAATGTTCTATTTAATGTATAATCTTTACCTTATTTCAAAGAAAATCTTTTACATTACTCTGTTAGTATTAATATCTTTCAAATAACATAAATTGCTTTTTAAATCTTTACCATTATAGTGACCAGAACTAAGGAAGGTATCAAATTATAAAAATGAGTACACAACTGAATTCTCCACACATATCCATCGCGAGAAAAATGGTCAATTTCAAAGCCATTAAATATACATTTCGGAAACACACTTCTTTCCATTGAAATGTTATCGCTGCGGTGCGGTGTGGCAAAAACTTAATAAAGGCGAACCGAGAGGCTAAAATGGCGAGTGAAGGCATCGACCTCGAATGTTTCGCACATAAATCTTATTCCATCGTAAATGGCGAACGAGCGAACGTTCGTTCGGTGCTCGTGGACAAATTACCGCGCGCCGGGCGAGCCGAGTGCAAGAGAAGGCCGTTATTACAACTAATTGGCGACAATCAAGCCAGCTACCGCTTTGTTCGCCACGATTCCCCTGTATCACTTCGGTTTTTAATATACTCCCATACAAACAACTACTACATGACAATCTCCAACTACATCTGTGAATGGCTGCTGCGTATTTTGACGTTTTATCTGTATAAGTAGTGTTTAAGCGACCAAAAAGACCCTATATTTATGTTCCATATGTTCTATGGTAATAAAGGAAACATGAAGATGAAACTTTGAAAGTACATATTAGACGCCTACCCTTTTTTCATCTCCTCAGTTCTTCAGATTTGGCACTTCTCTTTTGAGGCTTCGTGACCGCTTCGGGCGATACGTGAAAAACTTGAAAAAAATTGTTATGATGATGACTAATTAAAACAAATATTACGTCACCACTTGTTCTCAACTAAAAAGAATCGAAAATGTATTACGATATTATGGTGTGTCCTAATTTGGTCACGACTATTATTTTAAATGTCCGAGTTGCTAAGAAAAACATGTTTCGGTTTGTCCTCAGCGTGTCATTACATACGAAGTTGTTGACAATAATTTTGTATTAGCTACGACTTTTTTCCGTGACTAACAATACAGTGTATATATTTTAATGTATACATATTAATAAAATTGTAATGTCTGTTTGTAATACCGAGGAAAAAATCATATTACGTACACGTGGTGTACTTATTTGCGTTGCTGATAATGAAAAACCGATTTTTAAATTTTTTATCTGTCTGTCCGCAAGGCCGCATTTGTTAGGGTAATCCACGGAACGTCTGGAGCGATTTTGACGGGAAGATAGTTCATGCACGCTGTACGCCCGTGGTAGGATTTTTTTTTAATTTGAACGAAGTCGCGGTCGACCGATAGTTACACATAATGTTAAGGTAGCTATTTAGCCTTGCTGTTACAAGTTACCATAATTTTAGACATTCTGATAGTTATTTTTAGACATAACACGCATTAAATCTAAAACTCAATGTATACTAGTTTTTACTTCAATTGCATGGTATAAACTCCGACTTTTATAAATACACTTAAATATTCTAGACATACCCATACTTCTTTTTAACATCGGCAATTGAGGCCTCGAAATAAAATCCGATAAATCACATAGTTGCTTTTCTGAAAAAGTGTGAAAATATAGCCAAGTTCATGGAAGACAACCAATTGACACCGTAAAAAATGTCCAAATGTGATTTTTCGATTTTTGTTCCGACGCTGCTTAATTAGTCACTAAGAGTATCCTCCAATTAGGATTTCTCATACAAATCTACAATAAATCTACACTTAGTGAATCTGAGTGCGGCAGTTAATTAATATTAGATAACGTATATATTATATACCGTATTTAAGAGTATGTTAAATTCACTTCCCTATCGTATACATTATTACACTGTCAATCACATATTGAACAATGTAAGGCGAGTGTTCAATGAGGGTAATTGAGTCCGCAGGCTGTGGCGAGACGCTGCCGCCATCATATTGATAGACAGTGACCGCCGGCCAACACGGACCAATAGCAGTCGAGAAATATAATGTAAAAATTTATTTAACTAATAACTTTATTATAGGATATTTAAATTAAGAGATAGAATGAATGAGTAATCTTTAAGAATTTTCTCTTTCAATAAATTACAAAATCATAAAACTTTCCACTAACAAATCCTTAGCAAAATCAAACTTCTCAATCATCTTAAGGGTTCATTTAAGCTTTATTTAAACTTTATTTACAGCTTATATCATAAACTGTCCTTAACACCTTTAAATAAGTTCTAAATGTGTTATTTTTTTGGTCTGTTCTTCAAGGTTAAGATAAAAAAACCACGATTAAACATGGGCTGTAATAATCACCTATTTCTTAAGTTTCTTAGACTTTATTACGATCTCTAAATCATTGCAATATCTGTGGGAGTGTCATTTAAATGAATGTGTCGACAATCTATCATGCAACTTGCCTGTGTAACAGATTTATTTTAAACACTAAATCAAAGTCAAACTGATGATGTTAATGTCTTAGTTTCTGCAAGAGGTAATATTTTACAATTCAGTCAACACTCTTAATATAAAATGTGTATAATATTCATACTTCTTGTTTAACAATGGTTTTTTTTTTCATTGCATTTAGGTACATAACTAAACTCATGATAACAATCACTAGCTAGACTAACAAGTACATAAAAATCTATATAAATATGTATAAAGTTTCTTCTTTTATTACAATGTATAAGTTCACTAAGTTTATAATAATAACTGTTAGACAACTACAATACGTACCATAAAAAGAAAGGAATAGAAAATTCTCGACACTTCTTGCACAATTCACATGTGATTCATACATTTCTAGTGAAAATGCGTAAGTCGCTTTGTATTCCGCTAAGGTATTTAGCGATGTAACAGGCATGTGTGAGCATGACGCGTGAAACAAAAGAAACTTACGTTAGGTCGGTTCCCTCGACCCTCGCTCCGTTCGCACGGCCCTCCCCCATCGCGGAAGCGCCAAGTTTACACTGAGAAAAAACATCGCACTCGCACACATAACGTCTTTTTACCTTTATACACCATGAGAGAAAACAAGTCTGTATTCTGTAATAAAATGTTAAAGGTCACTTGTTATGATTTATTAATGTTTTTCCTCTGGCAGCTTTACACAATTACACTTGACTTTAACTCTAGTTGAATACTGTTGGTGTGGTGAAAAAAGTATCTTGCAAAATGTCTTCTCAAATCTGTATCAAAGTCCAATAACTCAATACTGTATTTTCGATACTGTGTCTGATTTCACTCATTCAACTATGCAATAAACTTGAGGTTTTCATACTTCGTCAAACCCGTTTTCACCAAACTCAATAGTCATAAATCATAAACAAAATAACAAAACTTACCCACCTTACCCAGAAAAGGTAGGCAAAGAATACGGATTTGGCGTGCGTCCCTGGCAAAAACCATACAGTCGAATATTGCTTGAAAGTGTGTTCTTCGTGAAATAGGAATGTTGTAATCAAAGCGAACATTATCGCACTGTACGCATCCAATACACGTGTTAACAAAGCTCGCCGAACAATGGGTGGAGCGATGCCGAACGTTAACATTTTTTTAACCAGCGGCCGCTATTATTCTATCTACCTGAGGGTAGGTACCTGCTCCCCTAAAACCACTACCCGGAACACAATTAACCAACGCCCCACAGCGTAAGTAGAAACGGCCATAATAGGACGCTTTCACATGCATTCGAACAAATTAACGAAATTGCTTTCAAAATTGACATCCATTTGGAGTTAGTGTATGCAGTGATTTTTGTAAATTGTTATGAAATGGAAGTGAAAGTTATATAAGTGTAAAATAGAATTAAGAAATGGCTGCAAATTTTTCTACGCGAAGGGGTTTGCAGTGGGACCCTTAGTACCAACCTGCCAGGTCTTAAAGAAAATATGAAAGTTCATCATCCATAGCGCGCAATAATGTGAACATAAAACTGCTAACTATGGAAAATTATACGCAATGTATTTGTTTGAGACAAATTAAGAACGTGGTGTTTTTGAAAAAAGATTAGGCATTTTATGTCTCCGTATCTTGTACTATTTTTTATACAAATCTGTACACATAATATTTTCCAGTACGGATTTCTCATTAAAAGTTAAATACTTAGAACTTAGAAAAACGTTCTCATCATTGACCGTGTTTTGTAAAATTGTTTCTATTTATAAGGTAAATCTGTGTTCCGCCGAACATGTTTGCAGTGGCTTGCGGCAGGGATTTACCCAGAACGTTGTGCAAGATTTTTCTCCCCTTTACCTCGTTTTGATTATTGTGTTTGCTGTGGTTTATTGATATTGGTTTCGATTCTCAAATAACTTATAGAATTGAATAATATGCAGAAGTTTTCGATTCTTGTCGGTGGTCAAAAATGTATGAGTCACAATTGGCTGCATTTTCACGTAGTCTTCTTCGTTCATAGTGTTCTACCTTGAAAGTGACAATTTTTGAATTTCATACACTTTAAAATCACAAACGTTGTTCAAAGATTTACCAGTAGCGTCCAGAACTATAGTTGAAAGTAGGGTAAAGGTAACCCATCATCGGGGGCAATTGGAACAAATAATGGTCAGAATTAAAGTAGGTACCATATAAATCTTCTACTACTTAACTTATTTATTACTTTTTTATTTGGTACTTTCTTAAATTATTTAGGCGAGAGTAGGTAGTTTAACAGTTATTTCAATCATTGCTTATCGCATAATTATGTAAGCACATATTATATAAGTAATGAGTGTATGTTTAATTTATTTTTATTTTGGAAGCCAATTTTTGGTTATTTTGTTTAATAACTCAAGGTCTATAATTCATAAATATCTGCATTCAGACATCAAAGACTGTAAATTAAACAAATCGACAACAAAATTATATTACTAATATAAACTGAAAAGAACGATACAAAATTATGATCAGCTAATTTATATTGGTTCAAAGAGGGGTAGGTTGCAGGCGTCAGGTTGACGGCCCCAACCCGTGACGTCACCGCACTGACCACTCCGCTCGATCGGTGGGAACGGGACCGCCACAATAGCCTTTCTTGGAAACAGCAGATGCGCTTGCGCCGTCTTTTAACTTCCCCTTCCCATTTATTTCTTCCCCTATTGAAATATTTTAACATTAAAATAAAACTTATTTTTATTAACAACTTACAATAACTCAACGCTTAGAGCAATAAAAAAACGACAAAAACTTTAGAAGTCCATTCCAAGGAATCATTAACCAAGACAAAAAACTCACGGTGAATAAGCAATAGGTAAGCGGCGTGGAGTGTATCTAAACGACATATTTCGGGCGCCGAGCGGCGAGCGGCAAGCAGCGTCGGGCGGCGAACGGCATGCCGCGGGCAGGTAGACGCCGAGGTTACCGCGTACCTGCCGCGCTAAGGTATCATTACCGCGCACCGGCATCCGAGACCGCCCCGTAATCACCGGCTCGCCTTCGCGCCGTAACGCCAACACACGAAGATCATCGCAACTTCCATGGATGAGTGTGGATCTAGTCATGATGGTAATAGAACATGCACTAAACCTCCACTCATCGAAAGAAATTGACTTCATCGTCGAACGTCGCCTCCGTCGAATCCAGCACTGCACGCACTATGAGCGACGTCATGTCAAACCGAACCGAACTTTAACGAGCACGTTGCCGTGATTAAAAATTATGAATTACATGCTGCTGCGCTTCCGACGACGTGAGCGCAGCCCGCGAGCACGGCACGAAATAAACGGTCGAGATTTGAAATCTGGAAATCTAGACGCTGCGTTAGCGACCGGGGAGGGGATGCGCCGGCCAATGGGGACCGAGCGCGCGCAAACCGTGAAGCGGTGGGGCGCAACTCCGCGCAAAGAACGTTATTTTCTTTCTTTCTTGCTCCCTCTCGCGTCCGTTCAACCGACAGCGGAAGTGAAATGAACGCGCGTAAACTATAGTATAGGCAAACGCATGGCCTGGCCTGGGCTTGGCCGTGCCAGGCGCTCTCACACAGTGCACCTGCTGCTTCAATTTAACTACCCACTGTGATAACAAAAATTAAAGTAACATAATGAAAAATACAACTGCTGTTTTTAATCAAGTATTGTGTAAAACTACTAGTAAACAGATCGAGTATGCGATTTTATTGCGACGTCTTTTACCAAGAAATGTTTACATGTTTAAAACGATTTAACGATTCATTGCAGCATGAAGACCATAATATACGTAGACACAACATACAACAATCTAAATCCTTTTTTTGACGGCAGATTGTGATTCGGAAATTGATTTTGGGGACTTGGTATCTCGTTCATAGATTACCTACTACTCTGCTAGAAAAAGCAAATGTCACTAAATTCCAACCAGTAACTTTTCATAGCGCTTAATTTTTATAAACTATAATTTTCTGGTCGTTATTTTTCTTTTCAATGAAACAAGTGAATGCACTATATTTATTTTATTTCTCAAATTAAACTTACAAGGACATAAATTCTTATAATATAATCAAGGATTGTTATTAGCCATGATGATGGTACAGCCGAGGTCTGTGAGCTGCATGAACTCTGCGCCGCCGTCCAGCAAGCGGTGTGAACAGACTGCCAGCTTCTCGCTGATCACACATTTCTGCTTGTTGGTCATATGACCCGCGCAGACGACAGATGCGCTCAACTGTTCCAGCAGTTGTGATGCAGAATATGCGTCCATTAAGAACCTGTAAGACAAGTTGTCATAAAAATTTGACAAATCTTGAAAATTTTCAAAAACAAATTTAACAATCACGCCATCTTGTATTTTATTGAAACTACTTTTTTTTCAATTCAACATGGGATTTAGTTTTTGTCTTTAAAGCTATTTTTACTTAACTACTACTAAAACTTACTTCTTCACAAATATCTCTAGCTCATTATAATTCTTTATGCTTAAATATTCATTGACCAAATTATCTGGAACTAAACCAGTCACCTGAAATCATAAATTATGAAAGTTATTTTTTTTACAGTCGTTTTAATAACTAGAAAGGTATTTTATTCAATATTTCTTGACTGCCTTTAATATGCTAAAAATTCTTAACAAATTGATTATAAAATATGCTACAAGTACCCACGGTTACTCAAAGTTTATTAAAAACTACCTCAATTAATCCATCAGCGGTAACTTTGCCAAGTAAACGCTGGCAACACTGGAGGGCAGTGAGTGCTCGCCGCAAATCACCATCACAAGTGTGCACAGCCTGGTGCAGAACTTCTCCATCACCAACATCCACTCCCTCTGCACTGCAAACTTCCTGTAACCTAAATAATATTACGACTAAAATTAATGCAAATAAAATTACAAGACAAAACAGACACTTTTGGTAGAGGACACCACTTATAAAGTCTGAATGCAGCAGAAAGACTTTAAGTCAGATAGTCTTTAACAAACTAACCTTTTAATAACATTTTCTTTAGCAAGCGGTTTGAACCTGAACTTTGAACATCTGCTTGTGATAGGCGGAATGATTCTGGACACATAGTTGCAGATAAGACAGAACCGAGTTGTGCGGGTTTCCCTCTCCATTGTCCTGCGTAGTGCAGCTTGTGCTGCGGTTGTCATGGAGTCTGCCTCATCCAGTATAACTAATTTGTATGGAGGACATGGTCTGCCACTAAAATTTTTAAATTATTTTTGATATATTATTTTGAAATGATCTTTGAATATTTTAAAAAGGAACAAGTTTATGATGAAATTTTGTCTTCTTTTATGCCAATTTTACTTTTATCTAAAATTAGAAAAGAAATTGTTTAAATTTTCTCATTTTGATTAAAACTCTACTTACTCTGGTTTTGTATTGCTGACAGTTAGCTGAGCAAATGATTTGACTTTATCCCTGATAACTTGTATACCACGTTCATCTGAGGCATTTAACTCCAGCACACGGTCACGGGTTATATCCCCAAAGAGCTGCCTAGCAGCTGCTAAGATAGCACTGGTTTTACCAGTTCCTGGAGGTCCATAGAATAATAAGTGCGGTAAATCACCACCCGATAAACATTCTCTTAAAACTTGTACAACTTCACCTTGATCGACTATGTCGTCAATTGTTTTAGGTCGGCTGTAAAATAACAAGTATCATGTTTATTCGCTCGTAACACAAAAAAAGAAAACGTAAGTAATATTTGAAAATACGAACTATTTTTCAACCCATGGTGCCGGTGGTTTCTTCTTTGTAGGTTTTGTACCTGAAGTTGACGGCTTATCGGTTGCTGACAGTTTCCCTGTCTTTAAAAAAGCTTGCATCTTTGAATGTTTAAAATTAGTAACGAAATCTTAAGATGTTTATAGCTTTTTAATTAAAAGTACTATAAATTTGTATGAAACGGCGGCAACAAAACTTTTGTATTTCGTAAATGCGTTTGACATTGACAAATAGGTCCACCCAACTGACAATGACAGATTCGTGATGTCAAGAGAATGTTATTTTCTTGGTGAATAGAGATCCGATTTTAAGTTTTCTTTATGAGTTTGTTTTTAGATTTCATATAAAACTTTGAGAGATAGTAAACCAAAATTAAATTCTCTTTTATTTATTTAAAAAGGATGGCTGTATGGAATATAAGATCGTTGACTTATCTTATGTCTAACCGTTTGACATTGACATTTGACTTTAATTTGATTACGGTTTAGCGAAAACTTCTACTGAATGCTGAGCGGGAAATTTCTTTATTTTTATATGAATAAGTAAAGTAACTAGAAAGTAAATAAGTATGACTACTAGATCACAAAAGAAATCAAACTCTACATCAAGTAATTTAAGTGTATCTCAAAAAAGAATAGAAAACTCGTGGATTTTACTTATTAAAGGTTGCAAAAGTGTCTTAACAACATTCTTAGCTTACAGTCTTAAAATTATAATGGTGATAAAACTTTTACAGAATCGTTATTTGAAAATAGCAGTTTCAGCATTATTACACTTCCTCATCCAGCTCATGGGAATTTATCGAAGTATTGCTTAGATAATGTTCACAACAAAATGTTTGAAGTGGTGACATTCAACGAACCATATAGATCATGGTTTATTGGTGACTTTGTTAAATCTGACGGGAGTATTTTAATGGTTACTCCAATAAATCCATTGTTTTTAGGTTGGTATACTTTATTTATACCAAAATCGTTATTCTTTATTATTCCTAAGAATATTATTTAACCATCTAAACAAACCTAAAACTTACATTGAAACAACATGTTTTATGACTTTTTTTTTGTTTTTAGTTCTCCCTAGATTAAAGGAACAATGTGTCAACAGAGCAGTACCATTAAATGATTTATTATCAGAGAAGGGATTTGATAAAATTGTTGATTATGTTAAAAATATGGAAAATATTGGAGATTTGAAGGTGATAAAATAATTAACATAGTAAAATAAATAACTTAAAATTAAGTTGATATTACATAATATTATATTTTTAAAAGTATAATTCAAGTTGACCATTAAATGGTTTTTTGCATAAAATTATATTGATTTTTTTATATAATTAGGGTCCAGCAGAAATGAAGGCCTATAAATACAATGAGGAAAAAACATTAAACTGGTTAAAAGAAAGGATTCATAAAGTAGCAAATGTTTTAAAGGAGAAAAATATCCATGTAACATCTGGAGCTATTTCATCTACTTTTGTATCCAGTAACCTAAACAATGACAGCATTGATGAAGGTTTGTAAAAATGATTATTAGTTTATCATTCATCTAAGATCTTTTGGACACATAACCTATTTTAGAATCATGACCATAAGAGCAATAAAGAATACCTTTGGAGACTGAATTTTTGACTAGGCTATTTATGCAAAATTCTGCACGAAAAAATTGGTGTTATATAGTGAAGTATCATTCAAGAGGACCCTAAAGTCGTATTAGGAAATTAAACTTGTGGTCCCTTTTTATTTTAGGGTGACAATTTTTATCCAACATATTTGCTTTTTAAATATATGTGCTTTTTTTAGAATTTTATCTCAAATATGCTCATGGTATAATATCAGACTACCTTCAAGAGGACTTAGTTGAAAAACTAGAAAAACGGTTTAATTTTAAACCTGAAATAATTGAAACAGTTGGAAAGAAGAGAAAGTCTGAGGCTGATCTAAATAACTCAAATAAAAAAGCCAAGAATGAATCCATGTGTGAAGATTTTATTGATGTGAAAGCTGGTGTTCAGTTAAATGGATCGTCTGAGACCAAAAAGAAGCCAACAGCTAAAGAAAAAGCTCGACAAAAGGCTGCCAGTGGAACAAAAACAATATCTTCATTCTTTACAAAAAAATAAATGGCTTTTAAACTACAGTTACCTTTTGTATTTTTATTCATTTAAGTTTTGGAGACAGCGTAAGTGCAATGTGTTTATTTACATTTCCGTTTCATTTTAGAATCCAAAATGCATAATAACATTTTTTACCCCATTAAATTTAACGCTGACTTGTAGCACTCCTTGGTCACCCAGTTGCACGGGCTAAATTGCTTACCTTGGGTTTCTGAGCATTGTTATCCTAGTTTTGTCAATAATGAAAGACAGGAATGGCGATAGCTTCTGTAGAAAGATTTTGGTCTCCAACCAACGGTTAGTCTATCTTACACATATAATTAAAAGATATGTGTTAGCCAGTACAGCAAGTAAATTAAAGTAGTGTTTACAGTCTATGGCAGCGTTGATTTACAGCTCTACTGTACGTGAATAATGTAATCGTTACGTTTGTTACACTGCAATAATCGTGATCAAAATAATTATATTTACTTAGTGAGTGTGGCCGTATTTTCTTAAAAAAATATCTGTATTTGTCAATATTTTTTACTGGTAACATTGTGACGGTCGCCATTACTACGTCCATATTATCTCGTATTCAATAGGACTTTCATAGCCATTTCATAAATTGCTGACTTTTTAATTATTGTGTTTGGTGGACAATTTGGACACAGTGAAGTGTAACTGATGTGATTTCATATTGTTATAGTCTTGAGAATAACTTTAATAAGTGCTCAATATTCTTGAAATCGCGGCCAATGTCAGCAGGCGTGTCAGATCAGGTATTTCGTTTTTTCACATATTTTTGTATTGTTTACGCTTCATTAGATGACTTTTTCCGTTAAAATTTGCTGTTTTCTTTATTGTTTCATATCCGTTGGGCGTTTAGCGGATGAAAGGACAAGGGAACCAAGGTAAATATGTACCATTATGACGTTGCAAATGTTTTCTCCGTAGGCTGGACACCTCGCGCCGGTCAGCGTCGTGTCCGGTCTTAAACGTGTATGATACTTTACATCGTTCGATTAAAATGCATATTTTTACCTATAACTTTAAAATGTGTACAATAAAACATGTAGCAATCACGAGAAATTACAATATGTTTGATACAAATAATAATGCAAAGCTATTCCCTATGGATTTGTTATAACATAATCTGTGATACAATGATAAGAACTTAGAGACTGTATTATCTTGTAAATTCAAATATTTATACAGTTCTTTTAATTTAAAATGTAGTTTTAATTTTCATTAAGTATTTCCTACTTCCTGTATGAAAAGGTGACAAAAAAAAATCTTCAAGTTTCATTTGTTCACAAATAATGTTCTGTTTTTTATTTAATTTTTAAAATAAAGTTTTATTTGGAAAACTAAACAGAGTATCCTTTGTTTTGGATGCATCTTAAATTTATATCTACTTATAAAGTTATCAATACAGATAAGATTTTTAGACATAGTATCAATATTAATCCAGATAACATTCACTATTTTCCTCCAACAAATATTGTTTGATGACAAATGTAGACAGCTATTGAGGACACCTGAGTAAATAAAACAAACATTTCACTATATCAGTTGGTCTTTAAAAACATAAACTAAAGAAAATTAATTACAAAATTCAGAATGTATTTCATTTGTGATTATTATATGGATAGAATATTGTAGAACACAGCATAATAAAATTTGTGTGCAACTAAAAACTGATTCACATTCAAATTGATAACATAATCTTTTCTGTATTGCTATCCAATCCAAGCTAAAGGAGGAAGTTGAACATTTTTCTTTATATTTGACATGGTAGCTATCAAACAGATGTATTACTGTTTTCAGTTATCTTTGAATCCTGTAATGCCCCACTATACATTAAATTGTTAAGCCAAGATTGCCATGATAGCTGAAAATGACAATACCAATTTTTGTAGTAATAAGAGTTGTTTGGGTTTAATTTACAGCGACAAATGTACCTAAAGAGCAACAGTTAGAAAGTGGTGGTGACGAGCTAGCAGAGGTGTCATGGCGTCACCAGCAGCAACCCTCGTATGCTCCACCCATCTCGTCAGCAGCCGATCCCTACAGCGCGGCAGGTAGGTACATAATCTATTGTATTTTTTATTAAAAATAATAATAATACAATTCTTAAACAGTAACACACGGATGTTTGTTCCCATTGACTAGAAAAAAATTTTTGCATCTGCAAAATTTGGTTGTAGCAAATATATTATATGTGTGTATTATTATTCTGATTTTGTTAAAAGAACTATTGTTTTTAAATTGCAGGTTATTATGGCACAACAGCTCTTCCTTACCAAGCTTTTGGAGTTGGGGATGGTACATGGTCCACCAATGGAACCGACCCAATGACATTCCTCGGGGGATACAATCCTCACGATTCTTATGGAATGGATGGTAGCTAGTATTACTGCAAATTAAAGGATTAAGTTCAAATTGCTATGTTAATTTTTTTATATTGCTTTTAAATCGTAAGTTTGATTTCATAGCAAACTATAGTAATTATAATTTTCAGGTGTTTTTGGACCATCAACAACACCCTTTTCAACAGCTGCATTCGGGCAGCCAGCTTCAACTTTTAATTACTTTCATGGAAATGGTGATTACTCAACTTGGGGTCAATTAGGCCGTGCAAAACAGTACGATGATTACTACAGGGCTGACGGTTTGTACGTTCCAGACGGCATTAAGGCTGTCGACAGCGGCGTCCAGGCACTCTCGCTCGGAGAACATAAAACCGATAAAGAGCGCATCTCTGAGCTCAAAGACGTATCGAGTGGATCGCAACCCAAAAAGATGACATGGGCTTCTATCGCCAGCCAACCGGCAAAACCGGCTCCGACATCCCAAACGGTAGGCTTGAAAAAGAAAGGACCGGGGATGCCCCCGCCGCCGATAGTGCCAGGGAAACATAACATGGATATCAGTACATGGGATGCCGGTAAGAGTGCTCCGGTTGTCACCGCTCCACCGCCGCCGCCGCCGCTTCAACCACCACCCGTGCCGGCGCCACTACCGATGCCAACCCCGGCGCCAGCTCAGCCGCCCGCGCCCGCCCCCGCACCTGCACCTGCACCTGCGTCTCTGCAGAGGGGGCCTCCGCCGCAGCACCAGCCGCCGCCGCCAGCCTGGGCGCACGCCCCCCGTGCTCCGCCGCCGCATCAACCGCGCCCGCCTCTCCCCGCGCCATCCTTACCACCACCGCCGGTCGTTGCAAACGCCGCGCCTACTCCTCATCCCGTACTCGATGAGCTCCGCGTAAAAAATGATTACAATCCCAAGGAGTTTGACTTAAGTGCTCCCTTAGCACGTTTCTTTGTTATCAAATCTTACTCTGAGGATGATATACACCGCAGCATCAAGTATGAAATATGGTGCAGCACTGAGCATGGAAACAAACGTCTCGATTCCGCCTTTCGGGAACGCGAAAGAGAAGGCGGCGCGGTCTTTCTCTTTTTCTCTGTCAACGGCAGTGGACATTTCTGCGGTATGGCGCGCATGACGAGTGCGGTCGACTACAACTCCAACTCTAATGTGTGGTCGCAGGACAAGTGGAAGGGTCAGTTCAGAGTTAGGTGGATATACGTGAAAGACGTTCCGAATGTACAATTGCGTCATATCAAGTTAGAGAATAATGAAAACAAGCCCGTGACGAATTCCCGTGACACACAGGAAGTGCCACACGCCAAGGGTCTCCAGGTGCTACGAATAATGCATAGTTACTGCCATTCTACCTCAATTTTTGACGACTTCATTCATTACGAAAGGCGCCAAGAAGAGGAAGATTCCCGTAAAGTGCCTCACCATCCCCAGGACAATAACCGTGAGGATCATGAGGGTGGACGTGGCTATCGTAATTATCGTGACTATCGTGATCACCGTGAGGGGCGCGACGGGCGAGAGGGGCGCGACGGACGGGACAGCCGCGACCATCGAGACGCACGTGATCATCGTGATGCACGTGATCCGCGGGATCATCGCGATCCTCGCGATCCTCGCAACCCACGTGACTCCCGCGACCACCGTGACGACCGCGACGGCCGCGACATGCGTGACCATGACTATCGTGATCGCGACTCCAATTATAGATCTCATCATAAGGTTCGTGATAATGTTCTTTGCTAGTACCCATGATACCTATATTATTTATATTTCTAATAATTGTATTATGGCTTCCAGGATAGAGACGGATCGCGTGGCCGCGGGCGCCCCCGCAACTGATCGTGTTTGATGTGTGAGAAAATTACAAGGACTGGCTTCTCTCCATAGATAACTAGTATAATAAACAATTGGTACCGCATAAACAATCCACTTGTATGTAGATATACATACAGAAGAAGGAATCAATATTGCGACCGATTGCGCTCTAATCTGAACAATTATATATGTAACATCATAGAATATTGTTGTTTTGAACAGTGCTTTCCTAACGAAAAACTATCTACAAATTAAAATGTGCTAATAATATTTTGTACTGGAAGAACGTTTAATTACAAACGGCTAGTGGACAAACAGAACATTAATTAATTATCAAATAAATTGTCGTGTGGCGGTTACGTAGCACACGGATTGAGTGGGGATTGTGGACTTTGTTTCAAATTTGTGGACTAAATCAATTATAAAATATAGTAATTTTATAACTGCAAAAATTCTGTTGTGAGAGGAGTTGATCCTTTAATGAGAGAGTGGTGCGGACAACATCGATGTGTACGTCGCTGAGTGTAGTGTTAGAACTATCCCGCATTCGTCAGTGTCGGAAATGTTATAAAAATACTAGTAGTTTATGTCAGTGGAGACTTGTATAACTTTTATATATTACATTTAAATCGTAATCACATGAGGTGTGGACATTTTATATACAACTTTTTTTTATTATTCAAAAGTGAATGGATTCTCTCGTGGCATTGAGATTGTCTTAACTCCAAACACTTACAAATGGTGTTAAAAAACAAATTATAACTTTATGAATGAATGTATCAATCAACAAAATCATTATGTCAAACAAAAGTATAAGATAAAATTATGTGCTAATTTTGTTTTACCTTTCATAGATTTAACAAGATTGGGACTGTTCATTATTGATTTGTACTATATGTATGTATATGTTTTATATATACATGTGTTTTCTAAAATAAAACTTAAAGTATTTTATATTTTTAAGTGCAACAAAAGTGTGACGAGAGAAAATTTATCGATAAATGAATTTGCATATTGACGTACAATAGATTTATTTGTTATCACCCCCACCTTGTTTTCAAGTGCCTTTTTATCTTTTTTAAAACATTAGATTTATTTAGTTTTAATGCCACACTATATTTTACATTATTTTTATTTTACAAATATAGTAATTTGCTGTTGCATGCTACATGTATTTCATTGCAATTTAGATGCTGATTTCTAAGTATAGGAGTATTTGTTCCATCAACACTTTTCCCCGGGAACACAGAATTGTTTAAATCTCAACAATGAAATTGTAAAAGCATTGATGTGTAGAAGGTGATTACTCTACAATGTGTGATTAGTTTGTGTTTCAGTTTTCGCAAATTTTACAAAAATTATGTCAGGTATTATAATATAGAGTTCAAATAATATTGGATTAAAACCTGTCATAGACGTTGTTAAGTATTATTTTAATCCAACCTTTGCCTTTTTTATATTCCTACTTTCAGTGGTGGTGTCGTGTGCCGAGCAAGACTTCGGGAAGACAACAAAGATACCTTGCAGCGTCTTTTCAATTGCAACTGCCTAACTTCCCTTTATTCCAAAACTTATGAGCTACGTTTTCTTACTTTGATGTAGGGATTATGTGATATCTGGGGCGCACCCAACTCTTTCCGCCCCCAGTGTACAACAAAATGTGAATAGTATTTTATTTATTAACTAGTATTTATCTCAATGTAAACCTGTTTTTACAATTGGGATTCAACAAAAAGGAAACCAGCTGGAAATTATCAACTGTTAGTTCCGTCAGACAATACAACGTTATATAAACTTTCAAGAGTCTGCAAACTTTACCACGAGATGCCTTTTTACTAGAAGTTCAAATTCGAGAAAGGCTTAACGAATTTGATAGCTCTCGTCTCATCCTGAAGTGCTATAACTGACTGAACCGATGAGCTGTCTGATGACTCGCAGTTTGTTGCAAAGAGAATGTAAATGGTTTGTAGCTCGAAACGCAAATCATAATTTAATCCTATGCAATCCACTGATCTGCTTTACATATGTGAATCGTGATCATACTGCAGGTCATCAATTTTAGTTGAGTTACCTAAGAATCCTAGATTGATCTAATAGGTAAGATAAGGAAATCATAAATCATCATGTGATGTCCATCTACATTTATACAGCACTTCTAAGAACAAGATCTGTGCATACATACTAAAAGAGAAGAAAATCATCTATGCAACCACAAAATTATGTTCACATTAAAGTAAAAAAAAAATAGTCGCTTGTAAAAAATTGCTTTAATTTATTGAGTTAAAATTTGGTGAAAGCAAGCATACGTTTGGTATGAATTTTTAATCTTAAATACATCACAACAAAGATTTTGGTAGATGCTATATGTCAATGTCAAAATGTTTCAGAACGAACAAGTTGTAATCATGAACGAAAACGAAAGGCAATTTTGCTTTTGTTTATAAGTATCCTCATGAATTAAGAATTATTATAGTTTTATAAATTAAATATGGAGTACACGATACAACGATAAAGTGCTACGAAGAGTGTGAAACTATACGTTATTACTGCATTATATAAAATGTTTATACGGTGTCATGTCATTTTGCGATCCAAGATGTATAGCCACCGAAGTACCACCGGCTCGCAGCTCACACTTTAGTTTTGGCCTCGGTGGTGGTATAACGTTTTAGCTGTGTAAAATCGAACGATACAAAACAATGTTATCGAACTCGTATCTATGTTCGATAATCGAAAGACGATAATATCCTAATAAACTCGACATTATATTTTAATTGATAAGCTGTGCGCTCTTCAATGTAGCGAAAATAATTTCTAACAAGTCAGTGCGTGAAGATATTTTTGTAAAAATGAGACATGCATTCGAACGAAATGCAAAAAAGTGTATCAGTGCAAGTAGATAGTGATTTTGCTCTTTTTCTGCCAAGCGGTGCATACGAAATTACAAAAATGGAGCCAAGATCAAAACTGAGAAAAGTAATATTCTTTTGTTTACTACTTTCACTGTTTGGAATGGTGGCCTTTGGATATTTCTGCCCTGATCAAGTAAGTATAATACTATTCCATAATTTCTTAATATAATTTTGTTAATATTTTAGTAAATGTAATTGTAAAAATATTTCATACAATTGCCTCACAAACTTCCAAGTAAAATATGTAAACATAAACATAATTATGCTAAAAATAATAATTAAAGAAAATGTGTAGGTTCATTAAATTTATTTTAATCAATTACATTATATTTAGTAAAGCTGGTAATTTCAATTTTATCTTATAAGTTGTTGGTTTAAAATAATATTAGTAGTTAAAAAGAATTTTATTAATATCTTTTAGAATAATTCCAAATAAGCTTCAGATTTGTGCTGGAAGATGTTTCATGGCAACAGTTGAATACTAGGTTAATCCATGACCGCTAAATAGCAATTTCATCCCTAAAACCATTAAGGCATTAACTTTAAAATACTTTTTATTGACTTCTGAAAGGGTGATGTAGACATGCAACAGTTAATTCTAAAAGATGCGTAAAGACTGAAGTAAAAAATTAAACAAATTGAAAATACAACATTCCTTGTAAGGACTTTCACATGTTTTATTTGGTTGGTGTAGTGTTTAGTATTTTTCTTATTTATCAACCTTCATATTTGAATTTACATCCTTCTTCTGAGTGAAAGTAATCTTTGTAGTCTCTTTCACAATATTAATTTAATTCTAGATGTGTGTTATAAAATATGTAGTAACCACTGAGTGTGTTTGCCAATGAATCAAATAACATAAATAAGTCTGTCTTTTAAAATGTTTTGAAAGTGATATATTTATTGGTTATAAGAAAAGCATATAAATATTAAATAAGTGAAAAAAAATTAAAGATGAAATATCAAATTTAATTGTTTTAAGCTTGTGTGGATTTCCAGTGCTTTACTTTAATTATCTGTTTCCAAAAAAAAATACATTTGAATTAAAATCAAAGCTTCCTTAATTATTGGAGTTGTCTTAAACTATTATTATTTTCAAATTTTGAAAATGGAAAATAGTAAAATTGCATAATTATATAGTTTTGAATGTGTTCACATATTTTTTTGAGGCAAGTGTGCATCAAAGAATGTATGAATAAATGTTGTATAATATGTCATGTAAAAGGTAAATAAGCATAAATTAAACCACATATATGATATCAATGTAAATCAATTTAATAAGTATTTTTATTGTCAGCTGGGTGATATAAATAATGGCATAGTTTAGGAGGTGTGTTCTTTGTTTATATATTAGTACTCTGTCAGCCTTTTTACGCGCCAAAAACATTATTTTTTATCTATAATCAAACAAGGATATCTGAGAGAGGTGAATATATAAAAATCTTCTTTTTTTAATTAATAATGGACCTCATCGTTTTTACGACGATTTCGCCAACATCAAGGTTGAAGAATATATAATAAAATCTATTTAGACATATAAAATAGCATAAAAGAAAAAAATTATAATACATGATACAGTACAATGGGAATCTTGTGAGATTTTTGGCGTTCACAGGGGGGCGCTTGTGAGGTGATATAATTAAGATCGATTTATTATTATTATGCCCAGTGTTTTTAATACCCTTATAGGTCTATAGAACAGTATTAGTTGTTTAAATAACAAATATTACGTTAAAATCTATTTTTTTTACGTATAATAACAATTGTTTGAGATACATGATGAGAAATTGCTTAATATTCGGTTTCATAATTAGCTTTCTCGGAATACTTTGATGTGTCGCGTGGTAAAATAAAATGGGTGGAATAACAGACGGAACATTTTTTACGTTCGTAAAATTTTTTTTCAAGCAGCCTTTGAAAAAATATTACTCGCATCTGAATTAATCAGGGAGCCTATTTAACCGAAGCTCGCAGTCGCGGCTTGTCGACTCCACTAATTAAAGAGGGTGGCAGCCATGCAAGTGGTTTCCATTTGTTTTTGCCCTCTCAACCAGCTCCGGCGCGGCAAAAAGCCTCACCTCCCGGTACTCCGAGCGCACATCGGCCCTGCGCCTAGCGGGAACCATAACATCGTGTCTACTTAGTGTACTAAGCGCGTTCACTCGTTACCAAGTTATATTTACCCATTTCACGTAACTGTTACTGATTTTTTTTTTTAAATATTGTCATTGATTCTTAATCTCAAGAGCCGATATCTACTACATGTTGAACCTTTATATTTAATAATAAAACGTTCACGAATGGTAGGAACACAATTTCAACATTCTTATAAACATGACGTAAATGGTAATGATAGCATAGTTATTTGTTTAATATTTTAAGTGGGACACGATTAAACTTTAACATTTTGCATACGTTACGAAAATTGCATCAACCAAAGGTTATACAAATATCGAATATATCAGCTTAGTTTTAAGCTTCAATTTTCAACAAGGAAATTAATTTCTATTTATTTATACCGTTAAGTAATTGAATTATCTTTATCGCATAATACAACTGGCCATATACGTTAACTCGATGCAGAAGTACCATACTGGAATTGTTACCAACATGGCGTTGCCCATTAGCAACGAGCCACACGCTTCCATTTTCGCGCCAACTGTTCTATACCTCTCTATTTGAATTGAGAACGCACACACGATACGGTTCATTTCGAACAGGTTATTGCAACAATCAAAACTGGATCGATTTTTAAATTATGACGTCATTTATTTCTAGTTCACCGTATTACCACGTATATTATTTGAAAAATTATCTGATTTATCTAATTCATAATTGGTATTGTTTATCTTGTTTCACAAATTGTTGAAAATATCATTATTGAATAAGATCATTTTTAGACAAACGTAAATACACCTCTTAATCTAATTTTCATCTACACATAGACATTTATCAAAATGTACAACTAGCTGTCGCCCGTGACTCCGTCCGCGCTTAATGAAAAAAACTTATTTATTCTATGTGTTCTTCCAGACTATTCTATATTTATACCAAATTTTATCAAGATCCGTTGGGCTGTTCTGGAGATACCTCAAACAAATATTCATCCATTCATCCATCTCAACATTTAAAATCACCATCATCATCAGCTCACTATACGTCCCCACCGAGGGGCTCGGAGCCTACCCTAAGTGATTAGGGTGATTAGGTCATAGTCAACCACGCTGGCCAAGTGCGGGTTGGTTGACTTTACACGTATCTTTGAATTTCTTCTCAGATATGTGCACGATGTTTTCCATCACCGTAAGAACGTCGCATAAAAGTACATCTGTAAATCGAAAATCGAAAAACACATTGTTACATGGCGGGATTCGAACCCAGGACCTGCAGATTGCAAGTCAAGTGCAAGACCCCTGAGCCACCGACGCTCCATTTTTTAAAATACTAGTAAGATATTAGTAAGATGTATACTATGTTTACTATTGTAATATTAAGTGTGGGAACGGCTTCGTTTAATTTATAAGGTGCTCCGTCGGATGTATCTCGTTAATTTATAATTCACTTTCAGACCTTGTTTGGTCGATCGGATCGAAAACAAAAGACAGCGCGCGCAAACAAAAAAAAAAGAATATCGCGATCTCTTTGCACGCGCATCGCATTTCGTGGCAAGTCCACAAGCTGGAGTTCTCATGACCACATATGGCAGGGCTTGTTCCGCTCTCGGCGGTGCTGTGCTGAATGTTAATTACGATAACACCTGGCTGGAAACGCCTACCAACTATTTTCAAGCAGTTTCCAATAAGATATATGGATAGCTTAGTATTTGTCATTTTCCATTATTATAGTTGTCTGATCTTTTCTGTGAAAAACTATCAATTGTTGCAACGTGTTAGGCGAAAAGTAGCTCGAATATTAACTATAATATTTAAGTCAGATCGCATTAAAGTCTTAAATGGTCAAGCAGAATACCATAAGAATTAATCTTACTAATACCTAGATTTGGCTCACGAGGTTACCGCCATGTGGCGTATGAAATCGACTACCATTATTCCGATAGTCGTATCGGTAAATGGACTGATAGCGAAGAGCTTCGACCAACATCTCAAGAAGCTCTCGCTAAACAGTTGGATTAAGGGCCCGATACAAAAGGCAGTTATCCTAGAAACCGCGCGCATCGTGAGAAGGTTCCTGTCTCTGCAGCCCTGACCACTGGTTGTTTGAGTCATGGGATTCCGCAGCCGGTGGTGTTCTCTTTTTAATATAATATGTTTTGTATATATATCTTACTAATATAAATGCGAATATTTATATGTATGTATAAGTAGATGGATATCTATTTGTTAGAAGGTATCTCTTGCTCTCGCTGAAATTTGGCATAGATGTAGAGCATATTCTGGAAAAACAAATAGGCTAATAATTAATTTTTATTTCTAATTCTGCGCGGACGGAATCGCCGGAGACAACTCGTATTTATATGAATGCATTAACGTTCTTAAAAATTTCATCTTTCGTATGTTTTCTTTAAAATTTTTGCGACTTTATATTGAAATAAAAACTTACACTAAAGAATGAACCTACGTATAGGATTTTACATGTACGCTGCTATATAAAGTGCAGCGAAATACTTTGAAGCTGGCACATACTTAAACAATCGTCGAAACTTTGAAAAGTGCATTTCAGCATTTTCTCAATAACTGAGTGCGGCAGCTTGTTTTCAACTTTGTCTAACTCTTCTATGCAATCACCGTATTAGCTTTAACTAAATATGAGCGTCAGTTGAAGACATATTGAATATTTTTTTTATTGGAAAATTTCATTTTGAGATTACGAGATATTCTTCAAGGTATGCAATCTTCCTGCTTCAAAGCCGAATGCAGCTGTCGTAGTTAAAAAGTGATTATTCGATAATTTTTACACAAAATGGATATGGAATTATCACAAGGAAATAGAAATTTGAGACTTCTTTTCAATTTTTTCATATAAAATTTTAAACACGTGATGTGTTAAGAAATTTTGTTAATTTCTTAGTGGAAATCTTATACAAAATACGTCAAATATAAAACTACTACTCTCGTCTCGTTTTAATGTGTAATTTAATTAAGCCGATTCCTTTGTGAAAATTTGGTCGACGAT